CCTTTTACGAGAGTCAGTGCGGAGGGTCTAGTAGGAAATTAGCCATAGTTATCGAAGCTTCATCCTGTCTTCCGCCAGTTGAAGTTGAGTGAGTGTCATCGTATCATCTCAGCCTCCCGGAGATCATTGTAGACAGTGTTTGGTCGAATCAGTACAATGCAGCCATGGTTCCGGGAATTATTGGACCTGAGACCAGTTAATGGATCCTGAATAGGGGAACAGATGCCGAAATGTTCCCCTGGACAGGGAATGGAGATTAGCTGCCGAGGTCCCGCTGCTACTAGCCATCCTCGGCCGCAACTGTCCAACAATATGAAGAATATATTGGTGGTTTCACATAGGGCAGAAGTAAGACAAAAGAAAAAGGAGGAGGTGGGAGGTAGCATGGTACTGAGGAGTACCTTATGAGTAACTCGCCGACAACTTCATACCTCAGCACTCAGGTTCCTTGGACCTACCTGATCTTGCTTAGTTGCATCTCGCATCGGTGAACTCTGCTGCACTCCGGGAATGGCCCGGGGGTGGAATGGCGATGATCGATGTGGACCCCCCCCAAGCAATAACGATAACCAATTCTCGGTATGTACGCATGTACTCTGAGCAGACCCAGATAAGATGAAAAGTTGAGGCTTCGAGGATAAATTTTCCTTGAGTTTGATTATGACAGACACAGGCTCAAGTGTCCTAATGATTAGTATCATTGATCATTGACCCCAGCAAATACATACCTCCTGATCGGGAAGTACCATACACTGACTGTCTCGGATCTGTAGTACCACATGTTGAAGTTCGACGTCAATAGGGCGGATGCATGTTGGTGGTGGTGGTGGTGGTGCTGCTGCTGCTGCTACCACAATGACGACTACAGCCCATGAAAGCCACCTTCTTCAGGCTGCTCCTACCGGTACATCGTACGATCCATGAACCAGCATCAACCCTGCAGGGAAAAAAATAAATAATTTGATTCCAAATTCAATCTGAGCGAACAACCCCCTCCAATATTAAAAGAAAAGAAGGACATCGCCCGCAACAGAAAGAACTTACCTAGCTACGAGTACCCAAGTAAATGGTTCCTTACATAACCTTACTTCCCCGGACATGCTGACCCGCATAATTAGATTTTATGCATCCACCAACTAAACTATTACTTTTATGCTCGACATGATTGAAAACCCCTGCGCTACACATACTATCGTTGAAAGTACTTCTACCGAACATGATGGAACAACTCCGATCCGGCTCCGAGATCCATGGTCGTAGCATTTGAGATCCCCAGCCCGATGCCTGCTGCTTGTGCCGTTACATAAGTTATACTAGTTAGTCTTGACAGGGCAGGCAGGCTACGCGATTCCCTTTGTGAGGGCATGTCTCCGCCGACGCGCACATGCCCGACTCCCTCCGATACGGGGGAGGGGCGGGAGAAAAGGGGTGAGTGTGTTGTTTTGTGCCACAGCAGGCAAGGTAAGAAGGGTGGATTTGGGGGCAGATCATGATCATGTAAAACTTATGAAATCTCGCCGGCCCCCCGTTCGCACCTCTTGCTGCCCCTTTCCTTTGCAGTAAAGTTAATTGTGTTGTTCCCTGCACCAGTTCCTCGAGAAGTTGGCTAGGGAAGATGAGGCCCACATCTATCAATATACTACTCCGTACTGTAGCCAACAACGAGGGCAGCACTCTACCGGTACACAGCTTCGATTCGCCTCACCAACTGTCTGATACTGACTAATCATGAATCATGCTACACGGTCAATGTCATTGTGTTCCGGACATGTCAGGCCAGAGAGCGGGCTAGACTCTCCCCGGCCGCAAACTAAGTATAGTACAGTAAATACTACTTGTACTCAGGTTACCGCTATCACGACCATCACGAACTTTTCCCCGATATGCCGCCACGAATGGAATATGGTCTAGGTGCTCTATTAGGATATAGGAGCGGAAAAGTAAAGAGAGGCACAGAAAAGAAAATTACCTAAAAACAGAGGCAATGGCCACGGATAGAACACACACATATATATTTTTTTTTTAAAAATAATACATCATCTTCTATGCGTCACCCGAGGGAATTTAGTTTCCCCTCCATGGGCAAGGTGTATCAAGTTCAGGGAAACCCCAACTAACTTAGAGGATACTGTAACTAGTGTACTGTACTCCGTACGCCGTGCACTTATAGCCTAGCCTTTCTAGACTCTGTTACGTGATCTGGAATCTAGACAATCAGTGTCTGAATGGTCTAGCCAGTCTTTACTTGACCCCACGCTCCATCAACGCTCCATCACCCTCTACTTTGGTTGTTATACATCTCGAGATCGACGAAACAAACAGCACATGGCTGGTCCAGATTTCAATAATAATAAAGAGCTTCTCCAACTACTGGTCCCAACCTAGACTATCAATAGAAACCCGCATCCGTCGGGCGTTCTGGCCTTCAGGTTGTACTTTTGTTGGACAGGTTTCCAACTCGCCAACTCAAAAAGAGACGGGCAGGCCTCACCACTCCACCACCACTGCAGGCAATCGACGGAAATTCCTGCTTTTGCACACGCACGCTTGAGTGTTCCAGCCCAAGTTTCCGGATTGTTGTCGTCGCTAACCCATCGCGACTGGGGTTCTAATCGATGACCCCCCCGGCAGGCGACGCCATACCCATTGGCTTCCCTGATCGGTCGCACAGCATGGTGCGTCACTGCTGAGTTGTTCGGTTCCTCTGTTTCGAAATATTTGCATCGGCAGAAAAGCACTCGCAACTGGCGCGCTTGCAGGCGTCTCTTCGCTGCGATGTTTCGCATGGTGACAGGCCGCTAAACATAGATAGGCCGTTGTACAGTGATAGAACACTACTCGTAAGCTAGCTATCCTCTAGGATTCAGAAACGCGTCAATTGCCCCCCCTTGCTTTGAGCTCACGCCCGTCGCCTCGTCATGAGGTTTCCCGTGGTCAAAAACCCCTTATCTCCCATCGCACCTCGCCACTCAATAGATAATTGGCCTAGAGCAGCCCGTCCATCGCGTCTCATGTCCTTCTGTAGGGCCTCGAGACCTTCCTGCTGCCCTTCCTCTTGTTCAACCAAGAAAGCGACCTGCAGGACATCGCGTGGATGTAAAGTCGGCGGCTGGGAATCTGTCAGATCGGTTCCTTCCAAGTCCCAGTTCAAGGATATGGACTTGAATGGTGGCTTGGGGTTGAGCCGTGTTTGCTGCCAAAGATTAGTATGTGTGCAGCGAGGATCTCGGCCATGCTACTGAGATTTCAAAAGGAAAGTCCCCACGATCTGCAACCTACCTTGACCACGACCGGGCCATCGCCCACATTTTCGAGTTGGGCCTCTAGCGCGAAGCGGAGCAAGCGCGTCTTCCCGTACGGACCCAAACTCTTGTTTTCGACTTCAAGGGGCGCCAGTTCGGAAGCTTTGGTCCGTACACTCAGACAGGGCTGAGCGACAAACTGATAAAGTTTGCGGAAGGTCCGGACTCTGCCACTTGCTGCCTGGGCATCTGAGCCTATCGACGTCTCCGTGTAGCTCACACTGACCGCCAGTATGTGATTGCCCTCCTCCTTGAGATCAAACCGTACAATTTTCTGTAAAGATTGGCCCTTCTGCAACCCGTCCTTTTGAGATGTATCTTCCGCAGGCTCGAGGTCCAACGCCGCTACCTGAGAGGGTGTTTGCATTTCAGCGACAATTCGGACAGAGGTGACAACACGTGACGCCTCATCTACAGACAGCTCATTGTTTGCACTGAGCGTGCATGCAAACGTCTCGCCGACGTATGCAGATCCGAAGGCAGGAGGTAGAGTCAGCTTGTAAGTTTCGTGTCAGTAGCCGAACATCAGACCATGACTGCATCGATTTACATTGGGAGTGAGGATGAATTGACCGTCCGTGTGATCGGCGGGGTAGCTCAGTGATGCTTTGCTCGAGATCTTCGTATTTGCCGCCGGTAAGGGATACTGGTATGATAGAGAAGGGCGAGACAGCCTTGTGGGTATTGTCAGGAGAGAAGTGCGCGATGAAGTTGTCGTTGATAGGTGTAGTATTTCAACAGGAATGCAGTCGCTTACCGCAAGACTGAACGATCATTCATCAATCAATCAGCCAAGTGCTTTGTCAAGGGGGAAGAGAACTCCGGCAATGCCATCCATACCTTTGAGTGAAATTGCATGGGGCTCTTTAGGGCCATCTGCGCCCGAGAGAGCACGAGGGCGTGCCATTTTAGCTTCTGAAGAGTTCTCTCTTTTGTCGTGGGAGGTGAGGTAACAGTAGCTTGGATGAACGTCATTTCAGAACCCCATACTCGGGCGGCGCTGAGGGCGGTGAAGCGTTTACTACACTTACTCCATACGATTTTGCGGAGTACAAATGTCCCCGTAGAATGTCTTGATTCGGCGTCTCCGTAGCTTTCTTGTATACCATGTATAGTATTGAAAAGGTCTAGTGCCAGTGATGTGGAAAATACTGCCGGTGTCATTAGCAACTACTAAGCCCTAATACACAAGATCTCAGAAAATAGTATCTAATTAGAGCCAAATCAGTAATAGTAGCTTCTAAACAACCTCTCAACGACACTGACAAAAAGCAGGGTCAATGAGGTACCGCAACAACTGCCAAATGACGGGGGGCTGCCGCTCTCTTGATTAGTCGGTCGGCTCACCGCCTCGGGGCCTTGTGTAGATCGCGAGCCTCATCTTCTATAGGCTGAATCCATCCGTCTTCACCTCTCTCGTCACCAAAAGCAAGTGGCACCGGATAGGTCCTGAAATGTGACAATTGGCCATTGACTGCTATCTCACTCAAGCTGCAAGCTTGCTGACTGCGCATCTCAGACCCGAAACTTGTGAGGATATTGCAGTACTTGTGTCATGCGGCGGAATTAATCGCTTATCGGTCACTTATCTCTTCCATGTTGGTCGCTATCCGTCGCCACTGCGATCTTGTGAAAGCGACCTTCCATTTGAAGTCCAAGCCCTTCAAGATCACTAGAGCCAATTTCCTCCTCCTTACGATGGGTGCAACCTCAAATGCAACTGCTCGCTTGCAGACTGTCAGAACCTCACGGAGTGGGGCTCGAAAGCAGCGTGCAAAGGCAACAACAAGCACATCCGCGGTCTCGAAAAGGAAGCGAACTGCTGATGAGGAAACAATAACAACGACGACCACGACCACTACCACCACTAGAAGATTGCAAAAGGCTGTTTCTGACACCACCAATTTACATAAACTCAGGGATGTTGGTCGTACCGAGCAGTCCTCCACTCGCCCGGGAAAAAAGCCCAGGGCGCAAGCGCCCAGTGAAGAGCGTCGAGAGCGTAGATTCAGGCCCCATGCCCCGGTATCCTTCAAAGAGAGGGCTGCACGTGCAATGAGTCAACGGTGAGATATTGGGACTCAGAACTACTCGGAATATTGAAGCTAAATGTCTCAAGCATGTTTATTGTTGGGCATACCGTCAATCTCGTAGACGGAGTTCTGATTATGAGCTTCGACATTGTCGGGACCACTGGCAACATCTACAAAACCACTATTGGGAAGGTGCCAACCTGCGACTGTCCAGATGCACGCAAGGGTAATCAATGCAAGCATATTTGTTATGGTAAGCGTTTTGTTTCTCTTGACAATCCCTCAAATCCTATCATTATGTCGCTATCACTTATCACTCATTGTTATTCTATGGTCCTAACAATCATGGCTGTTCAAGTGTTGATCAACGCCCTCAAAGCGCCGGCGGACCTTCAGTACCAGCTGGCATTTCTATCATCCGTAGGTGGCAGCACGAACATTGTCACCTGTGCCTGGAGGATTTGCTCACCCGTCTTGCAGGAACTGCGGGCGATATACAACGGTTCCCCGCTCAGCAAAGAGCAAGCCACAGAGGACAACGCTGGCAACAGAAAACCGATCGAGGGAGACTGTCCAATATGCTTCATGGAATTCGAGCCCCAAAGAGAGGACATTGTGTGGTGTCGAGCTGCATGCGGGAACAACATTCACAAGGCTTGCTTTCAGCAATGGGCTGCCACCCAGCAGGCACAGGGTGTCAGATGTGTCTATTGGTGCGTTCCCTGCCATCTAGATCTTTACTATATGTTATTGACCCAATTAAGTCGTTCACCCTGGCAGCCGGATACCGAAAATGTGAATGTGGAGGAGCTCTCCCGCCAAGGCAAATTCAGTCGGGATGGATATGTCAATGTGGCACGGCACTTTGGTCTCTCAGGCCGTCGCGGTACGAAGCTCTCATTCAGAAACGCCATTTGTCGTTACTTAGCATACATGCGAAGAGTAAACAATACTGACAGACTGACTCTGATTAGACGTTTCAAGCTACCATCCTTTCTGGGTGCGCCGACAGCAGCACCAGCACGAGGACGACTGGGATTACGATGACTATTGATGAGGTCATGGCAAGAGCTGAGTCTATTGTACGCTGGCTTCAAGGCGTGTTCTTCACTTCTTCTGCCGTCTGGCACGGTCATAGTTCTGCATTAAAAAACTTGCTTTCGGTTAGCGGGGAGGATTTTGGGAGTCAGCTGTTGCATGCTAGTCTCAGGCTATCTGGCTGGAATGGTCTGAACCCCAACTCTCATCCGGTCATTTCCATGGCCATTGTTATCATTATGCTTAATGAATATGAGGTATTCTTCATTCTGACACACATGTGCTGTTGAAAATTATTTGATCCGCCCAGGTTCTGCATCATTTGATGAGTTAGACCTTATCGATTATCCTCATCAAACCTTCCAGCGACCTATCTAGATCCAACTGAACTTGAAGGACTGAAGGGGAATGACCTAGCCGGGTTTGACACACCCGGAGATGACTAAGAAAGATTTGATTTCCAGTGCTGTCAGGAAGGGCGCCGCCATTCTAAGGCGAATTGATCGACTTCACCTATGCTGATGGCACGGGAACGTCGAAATTGATTCTACGTTGCTTGTTTCGATTGATGTCCCACCATGTTTCCCCTCTCAGTGATAATGATGGTGCCCCGATGACATGGCGGAGGGGGGAATGGGGGCAGCCCATACTTGCACACCTGATGTTGAGGCTCCATGTGCTTGAGTAGGTGGCCTGCATCGGCTTCAACGTCTCACGAAGCATTAACAGTACCGTATTAGCCGAAAAATAAAAAGCCCGTGCCAGAGGATTTCATCTACCGGCTTTACTCACTCTCCTCCCCTCTCTCACCGCAAGGACACTGACCCCTTCCTCACCCGTCATCCAGCAAGGCATCCTCTCCGCGTCAATAACACCCAACTCCGCAAGCTTTCGAATCCCACCAATCACATCCGTACCAGCGAATGCCAGCGAGACTGTTGGTTGTTGAGCGTGCTCTGTTGGCTTTGCATCACCTGGTAAGGCATCGAGTAGCCTAACATCGAGTCGATCAAGCGGCGCAGAAGACAAGGTACCCGAAGTGCCGAAACGGGACTGCAGGGCCAGAGTCCGCTTCTTGGAGGTACCGGGTTCCTTGGAGTCAGCGAGAGATCGCTTAGAGGCCCTTCTGTTTTCAAGGGTGGCTTCCTTTGCGTCAGTCGCCGTGTTCTCTTTCCCGGCCGAATCCCTGGAGCGAACCGACGCTGATTGGCGGTTATGCTCCTCCGGAGAGACGGTGTTGGATGGCCGTGGGTCCAAGGGGCTTCCTTCCAAGGCGGCGTCTGCGAAGATACTGAATGCACCGTTGGCGTGATTGGATCGACCGGGGCCCCGAAGGGCGAGCAGGGCTTCGAGACTCTTTGCTGTTAAGGAGGTGGGCTTGACGGTATATCGTTGATGGGGAAGAGAGAGGGCTTTAGGAATAGCATCTCGGACCAGACGCTGGAGGCTGCGAACGTCTGTTGCGACGAGGGAGTTCGGGAGAGCGGAACTAGCCTTGGAGGCTGTCTGGGGAGAAGCCATGGATGTGTAAAAGAATGGGCAACTGTCTGGGAAAGCGACATAGATAGTTCTAGACGAGTCGGTGAGAGATTCGGCACTCTGACGAGGGGCATTCTGGTAAGGCGAGGTGGTGACGAAGACACGGAGCACGGTGAGGGGAAGAGAGGTCGACCGGGCAAGATGGTAGTGGGCTTTTACTAGGGGAGAGATTTGTTGCTGAAGACTGCTTAGGAAAGTCGATGCGTGAACACGCGGTATGCACGCGGATGATTCGTTCGAGGACGAGTTGTCGATGCGAGCGAGTTCTAAAGCTGTCCAGCGCAGACTCGACGGATGGTCATCCATGTAGCGCAGGTCGACCATTGCCAGCTGACGAAGTGTGATGCCATGTCGCCAGTCGCCTTCGAGAATCCGATCTATGACTTCGCGTTTCCCCCCTTTCCGAAACTGCAGCTCCTGGTAGGCGTTGCGAACCCCGTTGATAGTCCGCTCAGCAGGATAGGGACGGAGTCCGTCGTCATCACCCTCTTCTTCCCTTTTGCTGCCTTCGTTGGCTTGGAGATATGGCGGAAAGTGCTGGACATTGCCATCCTCAAGCCACTGGAAGACAAGGTCAAGTAAAGCCTGGCGAGTAAGCTTGCCAAACGTCTTGACCAGCGATGGGGTGGAAGAAGGTATGCGAAGGTTGCTAGGAAGACTGGCAGTAGTGGGAGCACGAATTGCTTTGGACCGCGCCATTGTGACTGGCGACTGGATATAGTATTAAGAACCGAGTTCGGTATACATGACAAGGTTGCACAATGTAGGCGTTGTGAATGACGAGCCCCAAACTACCTTGGCTCTATGTTGGTCGGGGGCCCGAAAGTCGTGATGCGAACGCGACCAAGTTTGGGGATTCCTGGGGCATCAACAAACTAGAGTCACGTGGCGATAAGAGACCGGACTTGCAGTCGGTCTTATCATATTGCCGTTGCCCTTACTGTTTTCGGCATGAACGAGTGGGACAAAGAAGTTTGCTGAAGGGCTTAGATTCACAACTGATTGGGGTGATTATAAATCCTGAATTCCTTCGTGAATCACTGTCAGTCGGATAGAAGACAATGGTGTGTGAAAGTTGTTTAGACTTAGGGCAAGGCTACCAAGTACAGTACGAACTACGTCTCTTTTACTTACACCTAAGGGACACTTCGGACCGAAATAACTGCGCTACGGGCTAAAACAGACTCAACGGGCGGATGGGAATACTTCTTTGAGAATGCATACGAGGGGAAAAGTGGAGCAGCAAACGGACGGAGAAGGAAAGATTTCCTCTGCGAGTCTAGTTTATGAGTGTTCTAGATAAGTTACCTTATTAGCGATACTAGACCACTTCGACCATAAGCGTCCAGCTTGAGCCAACCATAAGCACTGTGGCAGACGCCGTCTGGGTGTACTGAAGTCGATTGGTTGGCTGAACTCACTTCCCAACTAGACCTTCTGCACTGCAACCCTAAGCAAACAGTAAAAGGAAAAAGCCTCGGGTCTGCCCGCCGGCGGTGTCGACAAACTGACTTCATTGAGGGAGAAGAGGGAGAAGAGGGATTAATAATAATCTACCCAAGGCCTTCGAAGTTGGAACTCAAAACCGGGCAGGGCTCGTGGAAACTGGAACCTACCACAACTGGAACCCCAACCCCAACCCCAAAAAGCAAGCCGATCTCGGCCACTGAAACGAGGATGACTCGGCTTCGATGTCATGATCCGGAAGGGCGGCGGCGCTGTGGCGAGAGCGACGCAAGCAAGGCAGGAAAGAGGAGGAATTCAAGGACTTGCGTAGCCAGACATACTCAGTATACTGAGTAGTTAGTAGTTAGTTGCTTAATGATTACATTGAGTCTACAAGATGATGATGATGCAGAAGTTCTGAAGAAGAGAACGAAGAGAACAAAAGACAAGACTGAATGGAAGGCTGAAAGAAAGTCAAACGGGAAGTGGTGGTGTGGTGCAGTGGTGTTAGTCACTTGTATTAGTCGTTGACCGCGGGCAACTGACTGATTCCTACTGATAAGTACTCGAAGTACGAGTAGTTACTACCTAGTAGTACTTAGTCTTACAATACTCCGTAAGTTACAGGCTACCTACGGGAGTTTCCCACGAGTCTTAATAATCAAACCACCCACTCACACCCCCGCCCCGCTGTAATCATTGAATTTACCCAGTGGCCAGTGCCCTTTTTCGGCCTCCCGCGCGTCCCACATTGGAATGAATTCAACCCGAACCCTCCACTGACCCTCCTCCGCCGCCCGCCCATTTCGCTCTTTCACCCTCTTCAATCTATTCTATTCTTTCTCTTTTCCACAGACCCCATCCACCCAACCCATCGACAACCCAACTCCCGACAATCAATCTCTATCGATTATCGCCAAACGCCGTCGACTCAATCAAGCGCTCGTGAGCCCCATCTCACTTCCTCGGACCCGGCTTTCCACTATCATATCGTCTCCGGTCTACTTCTATCCACGTCGGATAATCCACGAGTTCAATCTATTGCATGGCTCAGCCATAAAACGAAGTCGGTATTGTCGTCTTGAATGACCTCCATTGCTTTCGCCGCCTGGTAAATTCGAGACACACAGAGGCCACGGCCCACCTCAATCCAACACCATGTCTGAATTCAACGGCCGTCGGGCTCCGAACTTTTCCCAATACCTGGAAGATCTGAATGCCATCCCTTCGCCATATGATCAGGCTATGCAGCAGCAACAGCAAGAATCCTACAACTTCGATGCCGATCTCTCGTTGTTTACCAACACCGAGTTTTTTGACTTCGACCACTTTGGCGACATCAACCTGCCTGCTTTTGATTCGGTGGATAAGACTACAGTGAAGAGGGAGACCGCTCAGGATGCCAACTCCGACATGGATTTCTTGAATCTTCTGGGAGGTGAGTAGGGAATCGTCGTTTCTTGCCGCCTCGTTTTCATCCTGGAGTTGGACATATGATGCGACTGAATATCCTATCAAACTGGCCATTTGGAAAGAGTCACTTTGCATTGCCTTTCAGAAGCCTGAGCATTGAGCCAACTCATCCTCCGTGGATATCGTTGTCTCTGCCCGCGCTAGCTCACTCTCATGCTCTGCGTCCCATTTTCCCTGCCCTCCTTCAGAAACATTTCTTGCCCCTCTAGGATCATACCACGAGCACAGGTTTTATACCAGCTGCTCTGCCTAGATTAAGCACACCATTTGCACATCTCCTGATTGGCTCGCCACCTGCATGAGATCCCATCGTCTGTGCGACGATCGCAAAACGTGCAGTAGTCTTGCCTCTGGGATTCATAGCGCGAGCCGCACCTCTAATTGCGCAATACCACGTGACATCGCATCGGAGGCTGCATTTGAGGGTTGCCTTGGGCTCTCAACGAGCCGTCTTGGCGATTTGTCTGGACCCAATGCTGCTCTTCTTCCCTTCTGCGTTTCTGTCTTGCGAGGCTGATAGTTACAACTGTCCCTGGACTTATCACTGATTTCTGCTTCAAAGGCTTCGGCAATGTCAACGACATTCCATCCTCCAATGTGAATGCGGTCAACACTCAAGCTGTGCCACCACCTCGCAACCCACAGTTCTCCGCTCTGCCGCCCTTGCCGAATGCACCCTACAATGTGAACCCGGCTCCGAGTCAGGCGTCTTCGCAACATTCTCCGCAGTCATCGTCATCGATGTCCCCTCCCGCTGCTACCGCTGTACCTCCTGCTACCACTTCCTCCACGTCTGCCACCGCGCCGAAGCGTAAGAACACCCAGAAGGTCCCACCTATGAGCGTCGAAGAGGTCGCCCGCATCGCGGCGGAGGAAGACAAGCGCCGGCGCAACACCGCCGCCAGCGCCCGCTTCCGTGTGAAGAAGAAGATGCGCGAGCAAGCTCTCGAGAAGACCGTCAAGGAGACCACGGAAAAGAACACCGCATTGGAGGCTCGCGTCACAGCCCTGGAGTTGGAGAACCAGTGGCTGAAGAACCTCATCACAGAGAAGAACGGGCAGACCTCAGAAGAGGCCAAAAAGTCGGAGAACGATATTGCCATCATGTTCCAGAAGTTCCTCGCCTCACAGCAGAAGGACAGCGAACGGAGTACTTCTGACTCCAAGATCGGCGTAGGCACTGCCTAGTATTGATTCTCTTGTTTACTCTTCCATTCGCGTGCGAGCATGCCTAGTCTTATCCTGATTTCTTCGCCCTTCCCCACTTCTCTTCCTGTAGATGTTTACATCCATGCAAGGGACCTCCCTCACGCTCTTCCCCCCGCTCGTGTCCTCCTTCTTGCCATGCTCTATGTTAATATTGGTTGGTGTGCGTGTGTGGAAAGTGTTCGGCGTACGCGGAGCCTGTTTATGATGGAGGTGGTTTGCTCGGGCGGTGGGGAAATTAACGTGCTATTTCATTTGCTAAGGGCAGACACCTGCAGTACAGAATCCCAGCTGGTTTAGCTCATTGTGATTTGTCCCCTTTTATAAAAGTATATGATAATGAATGATACCAAAGCAATGTTATCTCAGTTCACCTTTCAGAAGTACCCTGCCTATCAAGATTCACTAGCCACTGGCCCATGTTTTTGAGACCGGATAACGACCATGCCGCAGGGGGAGGACGGTTCTCTCTTCCTTTCGGCCGATCTACGTGTAAAGATTGGGTGTACGTGTGGGGCGTAATTATGGATCGAATGATATACACCGATCCACGAAGAGGCATGAGTTCATTCTTTACATGTCTCAACGGAAAGCAGCAATGAACCCCCCATATCAGTCTAAAACTCCTCCCATAACCCGAAGCGCCGCTTGAAGAATGAAAGAAACACAAGTAAATGAAAGGTTGTCGGCGAACCCCAAGCTATAACTCCCGAACACCTTGAAGGGAATACAATAGCCCCGCTCCTTTCCCCTTCGCATACAAGACATTATGTGGTGGGGCTGCAATCAAAGAAATGGTTGGCACGGGCGAGAGCAAAAAAAAAAAAGGAAAAAGATGAACTGTGGAAATAGAATGTAGCGAAGCCGTGGGAATCAATGTCACTGTCATGGAGTCTCTTATCTGGCGTTGCGTAACTTCGTTGCGATAACCTGGTGAGCGGACGATAAAAGGAAAGGCATGTGAGGTAAATAGCGGTCAGAGAACCATGGCCATGTCATGGGAATGCGAGAGAAAGTGTGCTATTTCTCAAGCAGCAACCCATCAAGCTGCTGCCTTGACTTTCTGATTGTGGACTCTGCCATAGCCTCCTCACTTTCACCTGCTTTCCGTTCGGGAAGCTTCTCTTCATCGCTTTCGTCGCCGTTGATTTCGCCCCATCCTGAGCTGCGACGGCTGATGCGCCCCGTTACGGCCGCTTGCTGCTGTTGGGATGGCCCTGACCACGCATTCCCGGGGCCAGCGCCGGTAACGCTGGTTGCGTTACTATCATGACGGCTATGCGAATGGGACACACTCATAGTGCTCGCGGTATCCCCGGCCGTGGTGGCGGCCTTGTGAAAATTGCCGCGCTCACCAGCCAACGGGATAGCGCTTGAGGCTGAGTAGACGCTGGCGCGCTCTACGCTGGCAAGACCGACCAAGCTAGGACGATTAAGAACGCCTGGAGCATTGAGCGAGGAGGTATTGGAAGGCTGCTCTCCAATAGTACCGCTGAGAACACTCAGAGGCAGACTCTCCCGACTACCACCAAAGACTGAGGACGGGGCCAAGGCGCGCACCGAGGCATTGGTATCTAAGGAGTTACGACGCCGTCGCTTGGAGGAAGACGCCAGTGTAAGTATGGATGCATTGTCGGTGAGAAGATTGTTCGCCGTCGCGGAGCTGTAAGTAACCGAGTGACCGTGAGGAGTAAGGTGGGGCGGGACCGCCGTGGCCGGCGAGGAGGGAAATTGATGAGAAAATTGAACCTGCTGCGTCGCATGATTCTGCAAGGAGTTGGTGTGAGCAAGACCATGGTGGTGATTCTGCGGATTGTAGAGGTGGCCCGATGGTGCTGCCGACTGAACCGTGGTCAAGGTGGTTGTTAGAGACCGGACGGATGGCGCTGGGGATGAAAAGGTGCTTCCTTCGCCCCCACCGTGTGAACTGATCCCTCCTCCGGCCGTGACCATTGTACCTGCCTTCGAATAAGCTGCGTCCGATATGGCTGTGTCACCGTTTGTGGAGATGGTGGGTGCCGTAGATTTAGCACTGGTGGCGGGAACCTGGTGCTCGTAACAGGAGTATGTGATAGAGGGCTCGCTTCGAGAGCCGGATTGCCCGTCAGTTTCGGCGCTGAAATTCGATGCAGTAGCATCGCTGATGTTGTCACCACAGGGATTGGCAGCGGTGTTATTTCCAGAAAGTGGGTAGGGGTTATTCTTCGAATTGCGGTTCTTGTGTTTCGGCGTCGCATGGCGTTTGTGAGACCAACGGTTGGAACCTGAATCGGTCGAATGTTTTAAACTAGCAAGCCGCTTCATCCAACTGGAGAAGGGATGACGGCGTCCATTGCGATCTTTCCCAGAATCATGCGTTAGACAGTTGGAGGAGAAACAGAACACTGGGGAATTGCTTTGCGCACCATGCGCCCTGGCGGGTCCCTCTGTTGTGGCCATGGTTCGGGCCTCCCAGAGGATAGATTGTATTTCTTTTCAAAGGTCGTCGTACGGAAAGGTACCGAGACTATCGAGGGGCTGTTTTGAGCCGTTAAAGAGAATTTGAGACGGAGTTTTTGGTAATCGATCGATCAAAGGGACGCCGCAGAACGAGTGATTGAGCCCGGGAGGGGGGTGGAGGGGGTGGAAGAGGGAAGGGCGATGTATCGAATGAGCTGGAAGTGGGAAAGGCGGAGCGATCGTAGGCGGAACGTCCCGATCAAGTGAAGGCGCTTTGAATGAATATGACGAGAAATCGCTGATCAAGAAGACGTAGCAATAGCGAAGTTCAACCGAGCATTCATTGTTGATGAAGGCAAGTCAGGAGTTCCTCAGGCCGGGCACGTGATACTGGCCGTCGGCCCAAAGAAGACACTCGGAGTGTGTACTAACTTACTCAGTACTAGGCTTATCGACCGTTATCACCACGTGCTTGATAGGCGATATCACATCATCCTGCCGCCGCTTCCTTCTCCGAAGACACCATGGGCTCAAGTGGCTTTGGATTAGAACAGTGTTTCTCTACATCTTCGCTTTCCAGATGAGTGCTCGGTATCCTCTAGAAAGGCCTCGCTGCTCCAAGCAAGCGCGACTA